CCATTAAAGTATAGCTCTTTTTTTATTCTTCCAGAATTGCGTGGAACATAATCTAAGGCAATAGTATTAACAACAATTTTGGTGAAACGTTTTTGAAAATGATATCGATTACACTATTTATAGTTTTTACATAACATGCGAAAGTTCCCTATTTGAACTTGTAATTTATATTATTTCTTTTTCTTTAGCTTTACTTAGTATAATATCGATTTTGTCTACAAGTCAGATATATATATATATATACTTTTTCTACTATAAAGAAGTATATCATGTGACACTTTTTTGTTTATTAAAAGGAATTTAAAAGCGAAACCGGGTCAAACCGCACACTAATCAAAAAATATTTTTTATTTTTCATTTTTATTTCATTAAATAGATAATAAAAAACTACATAAGATTACAAAAAGATATATTAAAAAAAATCAAATAATCAAAAATATGAAATGTAAAAAAAAGATGTGCGTTTTTAGACGGCTTTCGTTATAGACTTTTCTTCATCTTTTTGTTTGAGGATTTTTCAATGCGAATTGTTCGTGCAACTATTAAAACTACTATTTCCTAGTGAGCACGGACGTAAAAAAGATACCTTTTAAACGTCTTATACACGTTTTAGACGTTTTTTGAAGGTTTTGGATATCTTTTGAACGTTCAAAAGACGTCTCTTTTTGGTCAAGTGCCTATTGGGTTTTCTGGTTTTTCCCTTCTGTACATATAGTTTTACATACGAAGTTAATACTTGCATAATTATCTTCATTTTTAACTAGAGATCTAAAAAGATAATATAAATATATATATATATATATATATATATATATATATATATATATATATATATATATATATATATATATATATATATATATATATATATATATATATATATATATATATATATATATATATATATATATATATATATATATATATATACATATATATACATATTTATATATTTGCCTCGAATTTATTGAAAAACATTAATTTTAATGGGTCTATTTAAAACACGATAAATTGATATGTATTAACACAAAATCCATAAAATTATTTACGTATGTTTTAGACATGTAAGGCAAGGTAATGACATTTGTTTTTATTCCAACTTTTAAAAAATGACTCGGTACCGAGTCATTTTTTAAAAGTTGGAATAAAAACTTGTAAAATCTCTAGCGCTGAACTATTTGCACAAAATACGCTTTTTATGCTAACTAACTAAAAGTTATGTGGCGGAAGTATCATTTAGCAAAACCCCGCAATGCAGGGTAAGGGAGCAGGGTAAGTTATGCAACAGTTTTTTAATAACTATATTTAGTTTAAAATTTTTTTCTTTCCTGGTGGAGCGAGCCTAAATAATATTTTGTTATATTTATTATCGAAATTGAAATATAAAAAATGTGTATAATATTTACCTTATATCTCTACTTTTATGATTTTTGCTTGATACAAATGAAAAGTGGTATCAGCGTTCGAAAGCATTATAAGCGTTTCATTCAAAACTAAATTGCTAAAAGTTATCTTGTGTATTAACAGAATAAAAAGAAACTATTCTAAAACTTTTTTTCCTATTCTTTTTATTCGTATTCTCGAATTATTTCATTTAGCGTTACAGTTTTTGTATCCGTATAAATTTTTTTGCAAAAATGTATTAAAAAATATTTTAAGTGAGATTGTTTTATGTTAATAGACCTTTGTTTTTATCGACTACATAATATTCTTAGACTTATATGAAGAAGTTTAATGGTTAAAGTTTAAACTTAAAGAAAAATCAATTTGAAGACACCCGGTGCCGGGTACCGATACAAAATGGCCGATACCGGGTACCCGGTAAAACAGCCGAATTGCCGGGTCCCCGGGTCCGAACCGGGTACACGGCACATCACTAATATATATATATATATATATATATATATATATATATATATATATATATATATATATATATATATATATATATATATATATATATATATATATATATATATATATATATATATATATACAGAGTGGTCAATAATATATATTGTAAAATTTATTTTGCAGCTACTGTGTTTACAAATCAATCAGATCTTTTCAGTGTTATAGAAATGTAATAAAGTTTTACAAAGCTAGAGTAAGAGGATTTATCTATAGGCATTTATAGGCATTTATCTCTATGTTCTGAATATCCTAAATGCAAGAATAAAGAGTGTAAATTATTTCATCCTAAAAAGTCAGAATTATTAAAATTAAAAAGAGTTAAAACTAAATTATGCAAATATATTCTTGATAAAAAAGAATGTAAAAATATAAATTGCAAATATGCTCATACTAAAGATGAAATAAAAGAAAACATAGAGAATTGCCCATTTAAACTATGTAAATTAACAGAAAAGAAATTAATGAAAAATGAAAAAGGTGAAAAAATAGCTATATATAAAAATAATAATGATAAAAAGTGTTATTATTTACATGAGAATGAACAAATTGTAAATTACATTGTAAGAACTTTAAAATAAAAAATATTATACTTTTAAGTATAATTTTTAAAATGAGTTAAAACATCTTTACATTTATAAAAAAGAATATGAGAAGAATGTTTTTAGATTATGAAAAGCATGAAAAATATACAATAACTTTTAATATTAATTCAGATTTAGAACATAGAGCAATAAATGATAGACATATTAAAGTATTCGCACAAGAAAATTTACAGTAAAATCAAATTTATATAATAACATTTCTTTAATGTGTGGAGTTAAAATAGATAAAGGACATGTATTGATTTCACTTGCAGAAAATTATAAACCTACTCTAAATTTACTAAATTCTGTTGTAATAGAGTCTACTGATGATATTAAAATAACTTTATATAATAACGATAAAAAAGATATAAATATTAAAAAAGGAGATTTGTTATGCTGTATTTCATCTTATAATGGTGTTTTTATTGCAAATTTTATATCACATAGGGTTACTTTAATCTTGATAAAAAAGTAGAACAAGTTAGGTCCCAAAGGGACCCAGGCTCTGCTATGTCCCAAAGGGACTCAGGCTCTGCTAGGTTCCAAAGAGACCCAGGCTCTGCTAGATCACAAAGTTATCCTGGCTCTGCTAGGTCCCACAGTGATAAAGAATCTGTAAAATCTATATTATCAAGTATAGGGGAAATAATTAAAGAAACTATATGTTATGAAGATAAACCTAGTTCAGATAAATCTAACAAAGCTAAAGACTCTACTGTATTTGATTTTGGTAAAAACAAAAATATTTATTAAAATGATTTAAAACAAATTTTTCTTTATAGAAAAAGAAATGCAATGTATTAATGAATGTAAACAGCTTTATCCAGATCTTAACCAGTTTTCAGAAAATCCATCTGCACCACCAATTTCTGATCAGAATATTAGATTAGTTAAAATAAATGAGATTCAAAACAAGATAGAATGTGAAAGATTAAGAAGAGAAATTTTAAGTAAAAAATATCAAAAACCTTTAAGAATAGTTTCAGCTATTGATAATTCATTACTAGCTAGCACAATGGCACTTGGAGCTGTTGGTATTGGCTTTTTAACAACAATAGTTGGATCACCTATAGCTATTGAATGTGAAATTGCAGCATTAAGTATGGGTGTATTATCATTAATAGGATCACAAGCTATTAAAAAATTAACAATAAAAGCAGAAAAGCATGAAAAGATTATAGTTTTAGCTGATGCAAAACTAAATACAATAAGTGGTCTTATTTCTAAAGCTATATCAGATCAATATATTGATAATGTTGAATTTAATATGATACTTTCAGAACTTGAAATGTTTAAAACTATGATTGAACAAATTAGAACAAAATCTAAGAATAATATAGATGAGCAGACTAAAGAGTCAATATTTAATAAAGGAATAGAAAAAGGCAAAAGTGATGTTATTGAAGTGTTAAATATGAGGTTCAACAAGAATCAATGTATAGGAGTGATAAATAATACTCTTAAAAATTAAAACATATATTATGTATTACTTAACATAACATATGTTGATTTAAAAAATTTTACCTATATAAAAAAAATGTCGTATGTAAAAGCTATAGATATTGAAGCAAGATTTAAATTAGCAAAAGAACTTGATAGTTTAAAGAAAAGTTTATATCAAGATTCTATTAATGAAAAGTTAGGTTATGATACTTGACAGACTAATTTGTAAAAATTGTACAAGCCATTAATAGATAGTCAATCTGGTATAAAAGAAGGTTTAACTAAATTAGAAAATGAAGCTGATCAAATAGCTAATACTTTTTCAAGTTATCCTGCTTTAACAGATTCTGAAACTAAAGCAAATATGCCACCTGAAATTGTAAATAACATGTCATTAGGAACTATCGCAGCAGAATATCTAAAGTTATATACTGCTAAAAATAGTAAAAAAGTATCAGATGACATATTTGTTATACATTACAATGAAGGTGATAAAAAATTTTACATTAGTAAAAAACCAGTAACTATTGAAGGTGATAATATAACTATTGAAGGTAAAAAATACACTGGTACACCTGGTCTTTGGGAGATTATAGTAAAATCTCATCCTGTTAGATATACTAATGATGATTGTTATAAGTATAAAGAAATTTTAGATCAAACAGATGCAATTCGCTCTGATTTAAATTCAGCTAAACCAAGATCATCTAGAAGTTATAAATACACTCATATAATAAAACCTATTTGGGAAGAGATGATTGGAAAGTCTGGAAAAGGAGTTATCATTGAACAAATAATTCTTCCTAGTGATCCAAATGCACTATTTGATATACTTAAATTACGCTTAGCTGCTTTACAAGCAGATAATACTTGAGCTAGAAATGAAGCTGTTGCTATTTGTGAGGAGCTGTTAAGGCAAGGTCAAATAGATGATGGCTAGAATGGATGAATAGATGACACATATGATGATGAAACAACATAGATGACATAGAGATGACATAGATGACATAGAGATGTCATAGATGACATAGAGATGAATAGATGACACCACATAGCAACATGAGGCAATATAATAAAGAAATCATTCAGGCTAAGTCAAGTTTTTCACATCTATTTTACAATAAACTAGTTATCAAAACACGTTCAAAACACGTTCTAACAGACGATGAAAAAGAGCTCTTAATTTTGGGTTTAAATTTTATTCCTTCAATTACAAATACGTCACTTAATATGCACATAACAGCTTTTGAAAAATTTAAAACAACCCTTCTCCAACAACTCTACTTTGGGATCGAAGAAATAATGAGGCATCCATTTCATAAAAAATCTAATTTGTCTCCCCCTATGACAAAAAACAAAACTATTATAAGTTATCTTAACTTGGTAGAATGTGATATAACCGCACTTATTTTCTCACAACTACCGAAAGATGAAAAAAATTTAACTCCTAAACTTATTCACGCATTAAACTCCCTTATGTTTAATCCTACAATTATCATAAAAAAGGCCGACAAAGGAGGGGGCATTTGTATTTTAGATAAAACTGACTATGAAGAGAAGATCTCTCTACTTTTATCAGATAAAAATACATATAAACTACTCTCAGAAGACCCAACAAAAAGTATAGCGAGAGATGTTAACAATCTTACTGACTATATGTTTCTTCATTAAATGATAATTAAAAAAATATCAGAGTTTCTACGACCAAAAACACCCCTTCGTACACCCCTGTTTTATGGCCATCCCAAGATTCATAAGATAGACACCCTCTTAAGACCAATTGTTTCTGGTTGTGACGGACCAATCGATAACTTATTGTTTTTTATCACAGAATTTATTCAGCCAGTTGCTGAACAATTACCAGCATACTTTAAAGACACAACACATTTCCTTAAACTCCTTAAATTTCATGTACTAGAAACCAACAATTACATTCTTGTCACGGCTGATGTTATATCCTTGTATACTAACATTCTTCAGGTTATATCTTTGTATACAAACATCGCGAGGGTATTGACGCTGTAAAATTTTATTTAAAGAGAGCACCGCCATTTAACGGACCCATTAAACGCCCACCTATTGCTTTTATTGACATTATATTAGAAACAATCCTAACCCACAGCAACTTTCAATTTTCGACTGATCATTTTTTACAATTAACAGTTACTACCATGGGGACACGTATGGCTCCACCCTATGCTAATCTATTTATGGGAAGAATTAATGAGAAAATAATTGACCAATTTTCAATGTGGATTTCTTTTTATAAACGTTTTATAGATGATATATTTTTTATTTTTCATGGGCCTCCGGAGATACTAACACAAGTTTTCGAATTTATGAATGCCATCCACCCAACGATCAAATTTACTTTCAATAATTCTACAACTTCTATTAATTTCATGGATTTAACAATTAACAAAAAGCTATATGGACAGTTAGAAACAACAACATACAAAAAGGCAACTGATACAACAGCACTATTGCATTTTAATTTATTCCACCCTCCTCATCAAAAAAGTAATTTAATATATAGCCAAGCGTTAAGATACAATAAGATTATATCCAACAATTACAACCTAATAAAAGAGCTAAAACAATTAGCACTAATTTTAGTTATACGAGGCTACCCTATTCAATCTAGTAACAAGGGTTTTAAACAAGCACTGCGACATACACAACACGAACTTATCTACAACATTTACATTTATGCCGGTGACTTTATTAAGGTCTTTGTGCGACGATTTTTTCGCAACCACACATTGTACTATCATTGTTATGATTCTAGGTTTCGCGGGTTTTTCATTTTCCTACACTTTTAATTGGTTATCACATTTCGAATAAGGTATCTATGACAGTGTTAGAGTTTATTTAAGACTATTGTTGTTTTGTCGATTAAAAAAATTTTTTAATGAGGTATTCTGATTTCTTTGGATTATTTATGCTTATAATACCTATCTGGTTTTAGATCTTAAAATGAATTTATCTATATTTTTATGTTTCGATTAGAATTTTAATTTATTGTTCATGTTTTCTTTCGGTGGTATGGTAAGTGATTTATTTAATTAGTTTTATTTATTTTTTACAGTTGATCTACACTTTTCATATCATACCATTAAAAAAACATTAGTGTTTTACAAATTTTGGGTTGGTGGGGTTTTGGATATTTGTAGTGAGTCCTTTTTTACTGCAGTATGGATAAGGCGTAAGTCGCGGGGTAAAGCACAAGTGGCGATGACGTTTGTCTGACGGGATAAACTAGTTATAGGTGCTGATCCTCATCGAAACGCCTGTAATAATAGACGCGACTCTGAGGAGATGTTTATTACTTCATCACTATATTAATTATGTTTTCACATTAGAATTAATGTTCTTTTTCCATTCTGAGGCCTTACCATGTTGTATCCATATTTTTTTGTTTTTGTTTTTTGATTTTTTAAGTTATTTGTTTATCAATTTTTTGGTTTTTTAAAAAAAAAAATTTATTTCGGTTATATATTTGTTGTATATCTTCGTACGTACTAGTTTTTTATGATACAATTTTTTGTTATTATTATTGTGAGTACTGCTTGGGTGTGTTATCTGTCTTACTTGTTTTGAAATTTTCTTTTATTAATCTTTATTTTTGTCTTGACAACTGTCAAAGTATGCTTCGTTCGATAAATAGTTCTTCTTTATTCTAATGTACTTCATTTCTTCCCTCGGGTGTTCACTGCTCGTGTGTGACCATTCGGCAAATTTTATATGCCAAAGTTTTTAAATAAAGTTAACAAATCCACTCATTTAAATTACATAAGTAGTATTAGTGTAAATACCTTTAACCGAAAAGAAATAGTTATTTTTTGAGCAAAGCAATAAATAATAAACAGTAATTTTTACAGTATAATAGAAACTTTAAATGTCTTTTTATGGACTTTTTCTTTCGTAAAATCTCTGGTTAAGACAAAAAAAGAAAATTTTGGAGTCCGGAGTCTAAGAAGTCGGTCTTTTTTGACCCGGAGTCCTGAAGTCCCTAAAAGTATTTATAAGTCCCTAATATTTTTGAAGATTGGGTGATATTAAAGAATTTTATGATCATTCTAAGTTAGTTTATATTTAGACAATTTAGCATATTTAAAAAAGTAAATGTTTGTTGCAAACAATTTCAGGATTGACAAAGAAGCCCTCATAATGCTTGGAGAGATGAAAATAAAGATGAACTTTAAAAAAATAATTAAATTAAATAACTAAATGAACAGTATAACAGGGTGGCCAGCATTCTGAAAAACATGGAATAGTTAGGGAAATTCAAAAACTATGCTAAAACGTCAGGGAAAGATTAAGGAATTCATTTTTCAAAAGTCATTGAAAAGTCAGGAAATTTTGATGGACCCAGACTGAAAGAAGAAAATTCTTTTTTGGCATAGTATATTTGACTAATAAAACTCACACAACTTTATCAAAACAAATAATTTTTTTTTTATTGCTACATTTGTTAATTTTACATAGGCAAATCAGAGAAATTTCATTTTAGTCAGGAAAATGAAATCAAAATTATCTGGCCACCCTCTATTATTAAGAATAAGCACTGACAAAAATAAACAGAAATAATAATTATAAAAGTATAATTATATATTTTATTATTTTTGTCTGGTCAAAGTGCTTATTTTTAATAAAACAAATGATTTTTACAGTTTATTTATTTATTTACAGTTTATTTATGCAGTTATAAACATAATTTTATACATAAATCAATTAAAAAGCTTTTTCAATTATATTCTACTTATATATACTCTACTTATATATATAATATATAAAAGTGGAGTAAGTGTAGAATATATTATATTCTACACTTGAATTGCAATCTACCTGTCATCAAAAAATATTCTAGCATTTTATATAATATAATCACACTCCCCTTTGACCCATAAATAGTCCCCAATTTATTTATTACAAACAGTAATCAATTTATTTTATAGGCATGCAATACTCTCGATTACTTCATTTTTAAAACACATCTGTTTTTTAAATACTATTTTTAGCTTCAATATGCTTTTTGCTTGTATCAGAAACATCTTTTCTGTTTTCTTCACTGTTTTCTACAATTTTTTCACAACTGCTGCCCACGTCTATTTTAATATCAGGAATAATGCATGATGGTTGAGTTTCACTTTGTGGTCTGATGTGTTTCATGACACAAAACTCCATCCACCTCTACAATTTGTTGATAAACATCCTTGGTTCTTCAGCCTCGCTTCCACTTGGTACTAGGTGGTTTAACCAAACTTAATTGCCAATTTAAATTTTTTTATTTGTGAAATTTTTTGCCAAAAGATTTTTTTCTTAATCGCTTAAAATCTATTTGGCAACCATATGTTTTTCCATTGGAATTACGTCATTTTTTTACAGCAATATTGTGACGATTATTTGTTTATTGATTGTTATTTATTTGCTTGAGTTATTGGATTCCTTACAATTCTTTTTATTGTGCGATGGTTTCTTTTTGTTATTTTTTCATCTTCAGGGTAATTATAATCTATCCATGATATTTCAATTTAATTAGATTTTACATTTTACCAGTCGTTTTTGACTTTAATTAGATTTTCCAATTTACATTTTACCAGTCGTTTTTGACTTTAATTAGATTTTCCAATTTACATTTTACCAGTCGTTTTTGACTTTAATTAGATTTAAATTGTGATTTGAAATTGATTTACGAGTAAGTGCATCAGAATACAAGTGAAACACTGCCACAGAATCATTAAAAGTTATCATTTTTCCACATCACCACATCTAACTCTGCCTAGTGATTTCGCCGGTTATCCGTTTCAAAAACCGGATAACAGTTCTCATCAATTTGCGGTTAACCGACTATTCGGTTAATTAGTGACGCTCTTCTAAATACAGGATATTCTAAATTTCAACGAACGTAGCGTTTTAAACAAATTTTTTAAAAATAATGTTAAAGTGTACATTTTCAAGACAGGTAGTGAATAGAGTCCTATATTATATATTTATAACAAAACATGGAAAAAGATATATATATTTTTTATATTATAATATAATATACCTTTTTAATTACATAATTAAAAAAGGTAGGAATAATGTACAAGTATAGTTTAAATGTTTTAATATCAGCGTATGTTTTATAATCATTCTCTCATGTAAAAACATTTGATTTGGAAAAATGAGATGTTATGAAGTAAATTTTTTTAGTGTGTATTTTAAAAACTTATTGTTATGCAGACATAGATGGAAACATAGATAAACTTGAATGTTCTCAAAACAACTTGTTGCGTAAAGATAATATAAAGAATATTTGCTAACACTAAAATACCGCCAAATCTACGAATAAACAAATTCTATTGGTTCAAAAAATACGCATTAGAGTTCCAGAATATTCTGAAGAAACTTTCTTAAAAATTTATTGCTTGAGTTGTAAAAGTAATAAATAAATCTTTGAGATTTCTATTGTAAATTGTTTTAAGAATATATTATCAAACAAAACTGATTAAATTATTATTTAAATTAATAAAAGAAATATATTATAATCTTTCATAAATTAACATTTGTCAAACAATAATCGTCATAATTACGATGTTACTTTCTATAAAATTTCGTAAAATTTTAAAGTCGGTTTTTATTATTCGAAAATAGATATGGGTAATTCCATGTCAAAACAACAAGTCGAA